AGGGCTGGCCGCGGTGCCAGGCTGCCACAGCTGGGCAGCAGCTGGATCCAAGCTGGCTGGTGTCTAGCCTGCGCGAGCATCTCTGTGCTGCTGTCTCCTGCGTTCCCGGGGCTGGCAGGAGCGTCGGCAGGACCTGCTCGAGTCGGCTCACGCCTGCCAGCGGAGATGTGCCCTGCGTTCAAAGAACTTCTGCTTCCCACTCGAAAACGTGTGCTTTGGAGAAGGCGTGCTCCCCGAGCTGTCACCTTCCCAGATGTTCACCACGCAGCAGTGAAAAGGAGGTAACAGTCATTTCAGATTGACCAGACCAGTCCGGGGAGGGAGGGTGAACTCGGCAGGCAGAAGGAGAGCTGCTCCTCGCTGCTCACCTTGGACTCCCGTGGTCCCCACAAGCATCATCATTAACCCTTAGGCAGACGCCCTCCAAGCACCATCTACAGCACGCCCCGGCAGCGTGGCGTGGCAGGGCGTTTCGTATTATTACTGTGCTTACTGCGAGCCTCTGGGATGAGCTCTGTAACTTCTCCCGGTCTCTTTCTTTCTGTGTCTCCTCTCCTGTAAGCCAAGCTTCAGAGTCCTTCTGTCACTTCCCGTGGTGACAGGACAGAGCATACTGTGCGTGTCGCTCCTCGCAGCTCCGGGGGATCGCCGTCCGCGGAGGACAGCCACATTACCCTCTGCCCCGCGCCATCTGCTACCAGCCGAGCACATCAAGACGGCTTGTAAGCCGGCACATCCAGAGCAACAAAGCACTCGACGCTTCCGGGCCAGCAGGGATTTGCTGTGCCAGGGAGACTAGTTAAAAGGATGCTCTTGTTTGCTTAATAATTCTCCCCCACGTGCTCCCTTAAAACAGTATTCAAAACATCATTCCCAAACCTGAAACTGTACCAAGGCCCAGTGGCAAGGGTTGCTCCCTCCTCCCCTGGGGCTCCGGACACCAGTCCCTATCCGGCGTGCTCAGTGCCTCAGGACCTGCACGCAGCCCTGCAGGCGCCGTCGCGTGCACTCCCTGCAGCTCCCAGAGCTTTTTCTGCTCCATTACGCAGGCTTCCACCTCCACAGGGCTGCAGATTGCCATGTTTCCCACCCAGCAGTCTCTGACCACTTTGCTAGTATGCATACCCCCTTCCCCAGGCTGGCAGGGGGAAATGGAAATGACGGGTGGGATTTATGAGCAGGGAATGGCACTCTTCTGCCATAAGAGGACACAACCTTCCAAATGACATCTCCTGCCAACTTCCCTTTCCAACTGGCCATGCTTGTGGCTGCCAGGTGCTCCTAGG